AACATCCTCAACAATACAGCAGACCCTACAGTTACCCTACAGAGGACACATTTAGTTTTAATGTTTGCGAGTACTGAGACAATATGTATGTATGCTCTTTCTGTGCTTCTGCTTAACAGCGTGTCGTCAGGTGTCTCGGATTCGGAGCGTGTTATGAAACCTTTTTGAAAAAAAAATATTTATTTGAAAAAAAATTATTTTGGAAAAAAAAATCTATATAAAAATAATAATAATAATCTCTCCGCACCGAATATTCCAATATTCGCTGCTGATAACTACCGAATATCCGGAGCCCGAAAAATGGTATTCGGGACAGCCCTACAACAGAAGTCATTACAAAGTTTTTTTGCACTGGTTCTGTAGTTGCATAGTAGTTTGATTACCTAAATGCAGATAAATCAGCCTGACTTATTTTTTTTTCATTTTTTTTAGTCATACTTTTAAAGTGATTTTAAGATGCAACGATTGCAATTTTAGTAGCTGATTTCAATTTTTTACAAAGCCTTTTAGTGATGGTACAAACAAAAACTTGTGTAACCTTTCTTTAATAGAAAATTATAGAGGTGCAAGGATGCTTTTTGCAGAAGCGGCATTGGCAATGAGTTGATATATATTACGGTCTCAAGAGGTTACCGAAACTCTCAATCAAGCGAGAAAGTCTGAACGATATTCAAGAATCGTTAACCGTCACCTCCTCTCACGATGTCTTGGATGAACCATATGAAATCTGTATAAACCTTGTTTTTAACTTTTCGCTTGTTCATCAACTGTTTCCTATTCCAGACAAGGCTGGAGGGAACAAGTTCGCGACGGACTTTGAGGAAGGCAGTCTGAAGCTGCAGGAGTTTGTGGGCTTCATGGAGACAGAGCTGACGACGGGGCCTCCTCTGCTGGAAGCTTTGGGAAATGCAGATATTTTCTACGAGATGCAGTACAAGGAGGTTAAGATCGTGGCCAATGTAAGTGTTCCGATCCCCTTTCAGAGAGATTGCTATGCCAAAATCATGATTTTGTTTCTGTGGATTGAAGTTAAGAGTGATTCAGCAAAACATTATAGGCACTTGATTCATGGTAAATTGCACATTTTCTCTGTTTAATAGAAAATGCATTATCGAAAATGGTGACCCAGACATCTTTCATTGTTCCTAGTAGGGCTGCACGATATTGAAAAAAACTGACATCGAGATTTTTATCCCCCGCCCTGCGATATATATTGCGTTTTTTTTAACTATATTTAACCGGATGAAGGTATTGTCCTCCTGTGCCTCGCTCATTTTTTACCTGTGTTTTGATGGTATGCAAACTAGCGGGGCGGGGCCTCCTGTGATCTGATCAAGGATGATTGTGATTGGTGGTTTGCTGTGCATGCAGAGCCTGCATGTCACTCACGTACCCCTGACATGAGAGCCGCGCAAGTTTTCCTTTTGTAGCAAGCAGCCACAGCAGCCCTGCTGCTGTACTGGCTTGTAGTTCGTTTATAGCATAACGTTGGCATTTTGCTTCTGGCGACTAGATTTATGATTCAAAAATTATAAAAGTAGGGTTGACATGTGGAGATTATCCGGCTGAACAAAACGTGATCCCTCTCTTAAATGTGTGTCAACCACACACCTTATTTCGAGCTATTTTCCAAAATCCTATGGAGAATTTGCATTGGTTTTTGACAAAGGAACCGAAAGAAGTTTACTTCCGGGTTTAAGGACGCGTCACTGCGGCTGAGTGACGCGTAGCTAAAACCGGAAGCTGCATACACTCTGGTGGCTACCATTAGCAGCTAACTTTTGTGCCCCGATTTTTACATAAAAATTGAATTATGGATTATAAACAATTGCTTAAAAGCCACAGATACATTATTAACCTATGGATCAACCGATTCAGCCGCGTTTTTTCTCGTTTCAATGCCATTCAACACGTCTTTTGATCAGATTGACAGCTACGGTGAGACGATCTCCCGTAAAAGCTACGTAAAGGTACGTGTTGTGATGTCTGTTTGCTTCCCCTGTCGCGAGATCGAATCGCTTAGTGATGATACTATACTTAAATAATCTGTGGAGTCTCAGCTTTAATCGGATATATTGTATGTGCAGTTTTGATAAGTAATAAGGGTATCTTTATTTTTAATTCTGTGCTAAAGTGCATAAGCATTTTTTTTTTTTT